TTAGGTATCGTATGTATTTATCAATAATGCTGCAAGACATTCCATCAATCATTTATTACCAAATAAACAATATTAATTTTTCATGACATTAATATTAATATATTCTAATTATAATTTGGTTTGTTTAAAGAAAAAATATTAAAGAATAACATTACTTTTCAAAATTGTGTAAAATAAATATATAAATTAGTAGGTAGGTACTCTTATACTTAAATTATTGTTTTTAATATTTTTGTTTTTAGCTGTATAGATTATAATTTTTCTTTAGTATTTATTTGTAATATTAATAATTCATGTTAGCACTTTGTAATCAAATTACCTAATTTAATAAGTGGAATAATGTGTAACAATTTTTAGGTGGTTCAAATTTGTTTAACTATGAAAAAATATCTAAACATTCTTTTAGGTTAATATTTTTTATAGTAAATTTTCATTAATTTGATCTTATCATCATGTATGTTATTGAATTGAGTATAACATTTAAGAAAAAAATAAACTTATTCTACTAAATTGTTAATAATAAATGTATTTCTATATGATTTTTAAATTTTAGGTTCAGTATTATTTTCAACTTGCTCAACAACAACAACAACAACAACAGCAACAGCAGCAACAACAACAACAACAACAACAACCAAATAATGCATCAGGGTCTAGTGCTGGACAAACAATACAAATCTTACAACCAGTGAACAACCAAGTAGTATCTTTAGGGAATGGTACTCAAGATCAAGTAAATATAGAAAATGTATGTTGTATTTAATACAAAATCAAGTATTTAATTAAAGTAGTATGTAATTATTAATATAATCTAACTTTTTGTATTCTCTTATAAAATAAGTTTGATATATCTTAAATCTTATAAGTTATATTGATAACTTAGTTAAATGTATCCTAATACTTAAGTGCATAGGTAGATATTAGAAGGAGGGGAGCTTGAGTTCTCCCAGGATATTTTTAAGCCTTCCAAGTCTATTTTAGTCTGTTTACAACACTTTAGTCGGGTTACATATGAACCAATTAATGTATTTAATAGTATACTTTGAATACATTTTAAATTTATTTTCATCTTTTTTTTTTTCTTAAATTATATTTAAATTCTATAAAAAAAATAATTTAGTAAATTGCTATTAAAAATTATTTAAACATCATTGCATATACCTTATATTTATTTACAACATGATAATTTTATTACCTTGGTAATAATTTTTTCTACAAAACTGTCCAAAAGGTTAGGTTATGTTTATAAAAATAAAATCAAGAGAACAAAATTGAAAAAATGCGAAAAATTACAATATGTTACATTTAAAAATATTATATTTCAATTTGTGCTTCCATGAACACAAATTTATAATTCGCTAAGTAGAAATTCTGAGTAATGGTAAAAATTGTGTAAGATTCATATTCTAGTCATTAATAAATTTATAGTATTATATTTTATTTTATAGATTAATAAAATAATTATTAATTAATTTTTTTTTTTGTTTTTTTATTAATAATTTTTTTGTTACTTTGTTACTTAGATTCCAAATAATACATCAAATATTACAACAAGTACTTCAACCACTGTAACAGGTAGTCAACCACAAGTTATACAGTTACAAGGTAATACTCAGGCATTGAATACAAATTCAAATGGTGTACTTCAGTTAGTACAACAGGTTATTACTCCAACCGGAGAAATACAACATATACCTGTAAGTATTGCCGTTAACTACATTACTAATGTGTATTTAAATTAATATTGGCTATGATATATAGTATAATTCTTTGAAAGTGAAAATTATTTGTTTAATTTAAAATTTTAAAACAAATTATGGTATCTAGTTTAGTAATTCTCAATATAAAAATTGATACATGGTTTTCTTTAAAATCATGTTAATGTGCTTTATGTGTGTTTATAGTTTAAACTAATACAATTTTCAATTCTTATAGTTATGGCTTGAAAATTGAATAAAAGGTTCTTCATAAGTTTTGCTTACATCAATTTTATTAAAAATTTTAAACTTCACATATTATTATGTTTAATTTTTTTTTTAGATATTTCAAATTCAAATGAATAATAAATAGATATTTAAACCAAAAATAATAATTTTTAACTCTTTGTCATATATTATAATTTACTGTCCAAATTCACATTTAATATTAATTATGCCACAAACATATTTACATCATTCTACGATTCATAAGTATTAAGCTATAATAATTAATAACTAATATTATATGAAGTAATAAATACAATTTTATTTTTAGTTTGCATTAGTTCAATCTACTGAATTAATTAAAAAATAAATAAATTACTTATAATAATATAAAAGAATCATAAAATATCTTAAGAAATATAGGTTGATAGACTGTTCAGAATGAGGTTTCGTATACAATGATTTATCTATAATTCAAAATTAATGTTAATAACAGTAAATTACTAAATCACGAGGTATAATTTCATGTAATATACAGCAAAGTAATTTTCCCAGTTTTTGTAATCATTTAATTCACATAAAATCACTAAATTTAATAAATGTTGCTCATTATATTTTTGTTTTTATTAAGGCAAATTTCGTATGAGGAGATAACCAAAAAATTATGCAATAGAATTTTAAAATTTACATAAATTTGGGCACTGATCATGTGTGCAACCTACACATACATTTTTGGTCCAGTATACGACCACATATAGCTATTTTATTTATTTCTATTTATCCTTCTTGTTTTATAAGTAAAGAGTTAAGTCCAGATTCTTGTTCATTTACATCTTTTTATGGTGTGTCCTAAATTCTATTAAAACAAGCTACAAATCCAATTCAAAAGATGTAGATTAATTAAAAAAATGTAATGTTTCACAAAATTGCACGTTTTAGTTTTTTTTAAAAAAAATGCACTAAATAGTATTTTTGTAAAAATAAATCTGTTTAATCTATATTCTATTACCATCTATCTACTTTATTATATCTGTATTAAGTTGTTATATGAAGTATTGGACTTTAATATCTAATAATTTAATTATGTATATATATATATATAATTAAGATAATGAATATAGGTACTATGATAGTCTATAAATTATTGATACTTATACACATACAGTACTACAATCTATTTGCAACAGCCATAGTCAACTCGTGTTTTATATAACAATTTTATAGTTGATATTTGTTACTTAATATCATTTAATTTAAAATGATGAAAATTGGTCATAATTTTATAGAAAAAAACTTGGAAATGTAAATGATTATAAATTTTAATCAAATATTGTAGTTTGTTAAATACGCTAATCTATTCTTAGTTAATTATTATTTTACTTAAATTAAATTTTTTTTTTAAATTTTATATTTTAATATAATAGGTACTTGATAGTTATTGTCAACTAATAAATAATAATATTAAAAATAAAATTTGAAGTACCTGTAGTATAAATTTTGTTTTTGAACATTTTAATTGCACGTTTTTTAGGTGTTAACTGCACAAAAATCTGGTCTTTATTTATAATAATTCATCATACTTTATGTATAATTTGTCATAACTGCATCTTTCTTGTCTGATAAAAATTTGTTGAATATAGTTTACTTGTTAGGGTGAAGGGACCTCCAACACTCTTATTTAAATTGTTTAGATAATGAAAATGCACTGTTTACTCTTATTTCATATTGCTTCTTCAATATTTTCCACAAACATTTTATGGTTTGGGTATCAGTATTAATAAACCATTTTTGATGATTCATGGTATTGTGTTCATCATTGTTAAATGACAAATAAGCTCTCCATTCATCACTATGGATTATATTTCCACATGTCATGTATAGCCAATAGCCAGATAGGAATATACACATAGGCTGTAGGTTGCAGATTAGACTGGTGCCCTCATTTGTTTACTTTATTTTTATTATGAAATAAGTCTAGCATATATTATATTAATATAATATATCCATATTTGGGACACACTTAACCAAGTTATCTGTATGATAAGAATGCTTATTAAATATTTTTTCTTGGGTCAATAATAGGTAATAACTAATAAGTAATAACAGTGCTTACATAATTATTCAATTTATAAAAGTCAATCTAATTATCCCATTATTAATTTTGATGAATATATTATTTATGATCTAGATATTTCTGTCATTTAATTTATATATATATATATATATAATATTCCCATAAAATAGAAAAAAAAATGCTTTTAAAAATATTAACAATATCCTTTTGATCTAGATACAAATTAATTCTAATCAACTTCAAATGCTTCGTATGCAAATTCAAAATTCTCCTCAATCACAAGTTCAAGTAGTGCAATCGCAACCTCAAATCATACAAGTAAGATATTCAAATTTCAAAATATTTTTATTTTTATAATTATAATTTATTATTATGTATTAATATTTTTAAGGTGGCCTCACAAGCTAATGGGCCAACACCAGTATACATATCTCAATCAGCTATTAATCCATCTTCAAGTTCAGAATAAATTATTGTAAATAAAATAAAAGTTATTTATTATGTAAAATAGTTAGTAAATTGTCATTCAAAATTAAAATACATTATTAATTTAAATCTTTTTTTTTTTTTATCTTTTATATAATTTTAATTTACAAATGTTATTATAGGTTACAAATCAATTCATCTAGTTTCATTAAATTTTTATTAATTTTAACTCAAATTTTGGTGTAAAAATTATCATAAATACCATTAATGTCTGTTAAACTCGTGTTAAATCTTTCTAAACATTTGGGGAAAAATTATTGTTATGAAAAGCAGTCATTCAAATTGTAAATAATTTATCATTAGTGTATATTTTTTTATACTTTTTATCTCTTATTTTATATTAACCATTGAATCATTTAATTTGTTCTTTGAAGTTTAAATACTGTTTAATGTTTATGAGGAATATGAAGTGTGGCTGTAAAAAAATGGTACCATTAATTTTTAAATAATTTTATTTGTATCTATACAGATAAATTGTACATAATTTGCCATAACATAAACAGTAAATAATTATTTAAAAATCAATTATACATTTTATTTTTATAATGCTGTAATTTATATATTGTAAAGTAAATAACAAGCATATAAAGAGACAGAATAATTATACTAGAGACAGTATTCATTACTAAAGTGTATAAACACATATTTATAATTCCAGTTACAACATTGGCAAATAAAAAGAAAATTAATAAATTATCATTTACACTATCTATAATAAGTGAAATTTTATTAAATTCATCTAATTGTCCTATCTTAAGTAAAAGAATAGTTATAAAGTTTTCAATCATAATTGACATAAACAAAAGAAATGAAGACATTGATAACACCCAGTAAACATAACCAGCATTAGCTAATCTTCTAGAAACACCAAAAATATAACTTATGACAAATGTCAATAAAAATAAAGCTATAGATAAAGTCGATGTTACTGCTAAAAGAAAAATACTGTTTATTAAATGATTTTTTTTCATAAAAATTGACAATCGTGATTTCATTGACAAAGAATATAAAAAAATTGCTTCATAGCCAATTAATGATAAAATACCTTCACGATTTGCTGAGAACAGAGTGTCTCTGGGAGCATCACTCATAATCCAATCGGCAAGTCCAAAATTTAAAGCAAATTCATAAATAATGACCAGAATTGTGGCAATACAAGATAGACAACAAGTATTGACAAAAGGTAAAACAATTAGATTAATTATTTTTAGGAATGCTAAAGTCATGAAAAAATTCCAATGTACACCATACTCAAATACGTAATGATGATAATCTGCTTTTGTTACGAAATATGTACGACCAATTCCCAACATAATCAATGGTAAAACTTGTTTAAATACTTTGAGTACATTTTTACTTATATTCCGTGTATTAGGAATATTAAACAATAATGCATTAGAACAAACATAACAGCCAACACCTATATCCATTACACCGTGTCCATACATTTCTGTTTTAGCAAATCGACGTGGAAACACGTTGAAATCTACTGCTAATATACAAAAAACTGTATACGTATTGAGCATAAATCTATAAACTGTCATGTAAGGGTTTTTTTTTGTTTTAATAGTACTCGAAGATAAATAATTGTGGTTCAATAACATCCAAGTAAATGCAATACCAAAGATTGTCATGTAAATTAAGAACTGTTCAACTGAATAATCTGAAAACAATGTGAAATTAAACACAGTTGGAAGTACCATTGTAATAACTTCAAAAAGAAACATCCATATTGTCGGAGAGTTGAGTTTTTTGCTGTAGTCTGTATCAACTGATATCCAAATAAATATGATTATATGAATAGGCAATGGAAACAGAGATGTGTAAGTTTCAATTAACGTTGAGCCTGTTTGGTTGGATATGGCTTCTCTGTGCAGTTCTTTATACTCAGTATCCATGATGTGAATGAGAACATACAAATGTCCAACTAGATATAGAAATAAACTTGATTAACATTTAACAAATGGCAACAACCACAAAGAGCAGGTACTTAAATAAATACTATTTACCCAAACGTTGAAGATATTTTAATCAATGATATTGTTGATACATTAAAACATGTAGTGTTAATTGAATAAATGTAAAAAAAATTAAAATATTAAATTTTTTTCAAGTACCTACATTAGTAAACGCCAACATGGTTTACATAATGGGTACTTTAATGCATTATTAACTAATGAGTAATTGGTTAGTTATTCGTTCCCAATTTAGTATAATACTTATAATAGCATGTCATAAAACTCATAATGATATAACATATTGTATTAATCAAAAATGAAAAACACTAAACGGTAATGAGTATGGTATCAATATAAATTATTGTATATTTGTGTGTATTAATCATTATTAATGTCTACAATGTGTATTTACTATTTTGTATTAAAACGACAAAACGTACGACAACTCAACAACAGCCGTTATAAATCATTATCTGGCAAGGTGTGGACATAGATAATTATTATCTAAGAAGCCGTGCTATGAAGACAATGTTTTCAGATAGTATTATCAGACAGCAGTTGGAGCAACAGACAAAATCTATTTTGTAGTACCTAGCACTAGGTACACCTGCGTCTTGACTCTTGAGAATCAGAATATTAAACTTAAATAATATTTGGGTACGTTTAAAATTGAGAGTACAGCCATAGATTAGTAGGTATATTATTACGGGTGCAGTAGAAAAATTAGTAGGTAGTTACTTGTAGGTTAAGAGCTTACATAGGTACGGATGTAGATATTACAGATCTATAGTCATGGTTACGAGTAAAAATTAACCACTGACGGATTAATCCATTGTTTGAAAAATATTATTTGTATTTATACTTAAACTAGAATTTATAATTGTGAAGTCAGTTATTAGTGAAGAGGGGGAGAGTTGAGCTGCGTAAATTCAATAAAATTGCACAGTTCATACATAATATAGGTACAGCCGTACAGGTACCGCTAGCACAGACCCAGAACATTTTTTATTAAAAATCATAAATGTATGCGAAAAAAAACCGGGAATTGGGAAGTCATTTTCTAATTATTGTTTATAATAGTGTTTGAATGTACCGCGTGTTCGTTTTATTAATAATTAGTCACTGTAATTTACAAGGGATGTGTAAAATTTAATCCGATGAGAAAATCATTGCAACACGAAAAACGATTTCGAATGAAAACGTGCGGTGAGTTAGAGCCCAGCTTCTAATGCAAAGGATATTTTATAAGCTATTTTCCTATCAGTAGTATGACATGTAAATATGTTGAACTCATTTTTGCTCAAAATTTCGCACAAGACGGTAATTACAACATAATAATCATTTTAATGTTAAATCATACTACATTAGGTATATCTACCTATATTATTGTTATTAATAATTTTTAAGTTAATACCGATGCGTTTTGGAATAGTCCGCAGACTAGAATCGTGGTATAAATAATTTAAAATTAGATTAAATATTTTGCAAATTTCATTGCTTATAAGTTATAAACAGGGCTCGAGACTTAAAGCATTTCCTTATTTTTATGGATTGACTTAAAATATAGCAAAGTGGTATGGAAGTGTATGCCATGTCACAATTCGTTCAATTATAAAATTTGAAAGTGCTTTTTTTTTTTTTACTTTTTTCAAAGATTTTTCAAAAAGATGCTGATTTCTAGTTTTTCTGATTATTTGGTTTTTTTGACCAGTTTTTCTACTTTTTATGGTTTTTTTCCTGCAATGTTGCTTATGATAGAATAAACAATAAGGCAAAATGTCTCGAAATGAAGTTTGATTTTTTTTATAATATAAAGATTTATTTATTTATTTAATTTTTAGTTAGAAACTATTCCTAATCATTTTGTTTCGATATTTTTTGTAATATTTAATTATATTATTTTTTGCACAATTACGAATTATATGTCTAGTACCTACTTTATCGCGTAAAAAGAAAGTTTTTTTTTTGATTGAATATTTTTGCTTAAATTTAAGTGTTTTAAATACTTATTTGAGTGCTTATAATGATGTTTTTAAGCACTTATTTTAATGATTTTAAGTGCTGTAAGTCCCAAACCTTGGTTATAAGAAATCATAATTTATAGGTTTAAATAATACATCAATTTAAATTACAAAAAATAACTAAAATCGTTTGATTAAAACCATTTTTTAATTTGTCGAAATTAAATATTAAGTTCTATATCAAAAAAAATGTTGTATATGTGTTAAGTATATTTTTTAATTTGCAGTTAGAAAAATGTATAGAAAAAATAAATAAAATTTTTCAAACTCAATATTTATCAAATGTATCTAATTAGTAATTAGTAATTACGTATAAAAATAATAATTTAATTTTAATATAGTGGAGTGTTTCTATGATTAATATGTTTTGAATTATAAAAAAAATAAAAATAAATAGTTTACCCAATGAAAAATAAATATAATAATTTTTAATATCCAAATTTGAACTTCAAATTTTTATAGTATGTATTTTACGTATTTATTTTCGATATTTTTTAATTTCAGCTATAAGAACAAATTAAGAGAAACCATAAATAAATATTTAAAATACTATAGTAGCTAGGTATTTAAGAAAATAATTAGATTAAAATTATTATAATTCAAACTTTTAGTACAAAACTGCAAAAATGCCATGACATTTCAAAATACCGACTTTTTGAGTAAAAACTGTAGATCGATATAGCTTTAATTTCTAATCTAAAAAATAGAAAACTGCCACATGTCATAGCCCAACTAATGTCTGTATTAAATATTAAGATTATATTTTGGAATTTGATTTGAGAAAAAATTTAATTGAATTTTTTAATATAATGATATGTTTCTTTAATCGTGGGCTGTGGTAATTTTGTAGTAAAAGACTTTCAAGCTTTGATACATATAAAAATCTATCAGCAATTAGTTATATTCAAACTATTATTTAAGAGATGATTGAGTTTAGTATTATTACTGTTAGGTTTGATTAACAATATCATTATTATTATATAGTAAATTTGAATGTTTTATATTGTATAATATGAATTATATAGGTACAAGTATATATCACTGCAGTCTGCAGTATTAAGTGCGTACTTTTTATAAAGTTTAAAGACTCGTCTATCAAAATAAGGATATTTTTTCTTAGCGATAGCCAATAGATGATGAATTTTAATGCAGTTATAATAGTAAATAACTTTTAGTGCTTAATTAAATAGATATTATTTAATTATTATTTAATATAACGTCATGCCCTCGTAAGTATTAGAGTTTTAACACTGGCTTTTATAACTTGCGCACTAATATATGCACATATATAGGCGTATCTGTATGTAGGACGTACACGTAGGTATTAATTATTAATAGTAATTCGATCTATACTTTGGTAGACCATTGTAACTATGTTTGTATAGTTTTATACCTACTGAAGCTATTTTACCTATCTATAATAATATATTTTTACAGAGTTGGTTATGATTTTATATTAAAGACATTGGAAATATTTTCTATTCATGTATATTGTATAATTTTAAAGTTATCCTATAGCTACTAGCTGAAAGTATCCATCAATCAAATTGAATGTTTTCTAATTTCAATAATGTTTTTACAGCTAAGGTGATGAATAGGTGTTGTAGTATAATAGGTGTAGTGTTACGATTCCATGGCAACAAACAGTACAACAATACCACCCAACGACATGTGAAGCAACGTTTACTTTTGTATTTTGGTTATGATTGTTATGTTTCTCTGTGTTTATGATATTAGTAATTTAGATTATTTATATTTAATATTTAATTAGTAATTAAATTTATGTGTGTGGAATTTAAAATAAAATTGGGGTAGTTGTTGCCATGAAAAAATTATTAATATAGTTTAAAATATGTATTATATCCATATACATATTTAATATAATTTATTTCATATTTGTACAAATTTTACATATCAAAGTTAAAATTTTCGATATAAAATGACCTCTAATGTATCACCGAGTAGATCAAATTTAATGTCTTCGTCACACCCAAGCAAAGGTTCTTTGACAGACCGACCAAGCAGTTGTTCTAATAAAAGTCTCGTGCACAATAAATCGTGCCCTGTCCATTCAAGACATTTATCATATAAAACGATTGGACAATGCCATGATAAAATTGAGGAATTAGAAAAACAAAATGCCCGACTTGTTTCAAAGGTATGTGTGAATTTAAATAAAATTATGATAGTTAATTAATTTTTTATTTACATTTACCCTATGTTCTGATAATTTATATACTAAAATATTTACTGAATACGTTTATTATAGATTAAAGTATTAAAATATCAATTAAAAACATCATCTAATTTATACAATAATATTCATCAAAGACCAGAGAAACCTTTATCAAGACATTCTCAAAGGTTAGTATAAGTTTTAATATAATTCACTATTATGTTTAATGGTAATAAATATTAAGTTTACTTGTAATAGGTCAACGCCAATAAAATTACAAAAAATTTCAAGATTGTCTAGAGTAGGTTTTGATGAAAATGAAAAGACTATTAAACTTCCTGAAAGAGTGTGTATTTTTCAATGGAAATAATAATTAAAAAACTAATATATTAAGTAGGTATATAAAAAAATATATATTTATATTTATTATGTATGTATTTTAGAAATTTGAGAGTACAGAATCATTTGATAGTGAAAGTAGCTTAGTAGAAAATAAAAGTAAATTTAAGGAGAATATTGAACTAATACAATCTCACAGAGTTATCAAAAGTATGGAGATTCAAATGGAAACCTTAGAAGCACAATGCAAAGCTTTTGAGCAAAATATGTTGGATATTAATGAATTGTTTGACAAAGAACGGGATGAACATGGTATGATATTAACTTAAAACTAAGTTATAGTTGGATGAATAACTTTTTTTTTTTAATTGTATATTTAGATAAATTGAAAGAGCTATTAATTATTGAAAGACACAATTTAAGTGAACTAAAACCAAAATACAATGTTTATAAAGAAACAAATAAAGTATTAGAAGAACAAATTCGTGATTTACAAGTAATTTAAATTTTAAATTATTTAGTATACAATTATTATTCATTGATTGTTATGAGTTTATATTTTTAATATGTTAACTATTTATTTAGAAAGAAAAGTTATCGCTCAAAGAACATAACCAGAAACTTCTACAACTTACTTCCAAACCTAATCATCAAAATAACGGACTAAAGGTTAATTCTTCAGTAAATAAATATAAAAATGTTGTACTAATCTCATATTTTTGGTATTAATAATATTCATATTCGTTTCAATTTTCTCAATAAAATTACCATTTTCAAACAGCATATTGCAATTTTTTAGGATTTCTTAAGTTAAAAATTATTTATATACGACAAAAAAGTTTTAACATATATTTTTTAGCATAAAAGTAGTTTGAAAAAGTTTTTGAATCTTAAAAATTATAAATTTCATACTTATTTTTTTTCATAATGTCTCTGGTGTTTCAGAACAACCATGATTTTACGCTTTATAATATTAAATTAAAATCAGTAAATGAAATTTGAAAGTTTAATAATACAAATACAAATTGATTAATAATTATATACGAGTAGGTACACTTATACTCAATAATTATTTATATAAATTTTAGTTGAAAGAATTGGAGGAAAATTTTTCCGATACTCGAGCGGGTCTTTTAAAACAAATGGAAGAGAATAGTAAATATATCGCAGAATTAAAAGGAATAATAAATGAAAATGAAGTAAAACTTTCTAATTACGCAGATGAGAATAAATGCTTGAAGGTTTAATTAAATAAAAAATGAACTTTAAATTTGAAATAACTTATACTCGTATATTTTATTATAGAACCAACATTTGGAACTGTCTGATATATTAAAATTAAAAGAGGATGAAATTAAAAACATAAATAAGGAAATTGATAATATTCGACAAGAGAATGACGAATTAAAAAATAAACTCAAGGTAAATCCATGATATAACTTTATTTAGTATTTAACTTCTATTTTCTAGTTAAAATTTTTTTTATAACGTTATTATTTATTATTTAATAGACAAATATTAATATTTCAAAAGAAAATGAAAGTGAAGTTCTCACAGTGCACCAAAATTTGGATTCGGAAGAAAAAAGGTGAATAAAGTTTAAATTAAACATGAAAATTATTATAAATTTTAATTTTTTTATAGACTGAAAAGTCAAATCCAAGAACTTCAACAAGAACAATTAAAAATTAATCAAACGCTGAACTCTCAGTCTTATTTAAATACGATGCTTAAAGATAAGGTATAAGTGTACTTTTAAATAACTATGTTTTTATAACTAATTAAAAATTACCAACTTAATTTATTTTATGGCGTTTGATATTTTAGGTAGATCAAGCTGAACGTGATATAAAAACAGCAATACAGTTTATTAAAATATGCATGAATTTATTTAAAGATATTACAACGTTGGATCTATCTGAACCACTTATAGCTACCTTGGAAATTATAGAAAAAGCTATTTGTTCTATTAAGAAAAGTAATGAAGTTAATGTTGAAAACAAGGAGTTCGAAGAAATATTAAACGATACATTAGAAGTTTTGGTTGTGTTCAGAGATCAAATGGTTAAAAGACGAACCACATTAAATCAAGAACAGTGGACCAAAAAACCAATAGTTAATTTAATTACAGACACTATGAATAAAAGTGAGGTATGCGTATACAAATATTTTTATTTTGTTTAGTTATTTGTACATAACGGGTAGGTAATTTAATCAATAACAAGATAAATAATAAAACAATATTATAATATTTAATAATAATACAATGCGAATCCAGTAGTGTATAATTTTCATTATTTAATAATAGCGGGGAAGTTATTGTGGGGTAATCTAGACGTAAGGATTTTCTCAATTTCCATCAGTTGTTTAAGTTTATCATATTTTTAGTGCAGGAAATTTTAATACGATTGGAATTCTAGAGGGGAATTAACAGTGTGATTATTATTACTAATTTTATTTATTTTTAATGACTATTTTTTCTTTTCATTTTGACATTAAAACTTGCTAAATAGATAAATTATTACGTTTTAGTTTATTTCATAGTAAATGCTCATTGATTAAAAAAAAATTATTTTATTTAGTTAATGAGGTTGATGATAAATACAATAAGTTGGTAATCTACTTATTTTATCATTGTTTTTCAAATAAGCGCCAAAAAAAAAAAAAAATCTTGCTTGCAAATCTTTTACATTTATATATAATTGATAAAAAGTGTACCTAATTGAGGTTAATATTTTAAATTCTAAAACTAATCGAAATTAATAATTAATACGTATTTTATATTTTAATTAAAATAATATAAAAATAATCAATATATTTAACTATTTATTTTATCCATAACCTACATTGAATTAATTTTTACGAAATTGATAATTAATTAGGTAAGACATACTTACCTAATTTAGTTAGGTATATTAATAAATTTATAGTTTCAATATTAAAACTAATAATTTACAACAATTGTGTTAATAAAAATAATTTTTAAACATTTTAGAACACGCCTAGAATTCAAGAAAATTCTGCACAACTAGAAATTAATATAAACAGTGTACAATTTTCTGCGGAAAGTATACGACACTTAAAGTAAGCGTTTCGATTTTTATAAACGATTAAATAATTTTTTTTTACAGTAATTTTATTCTACTATATAAACTTATATTATTATAATTATATATATAATTTATATTAGATCGCTAGAGTCGGAGCCAAACATTTTTCTAACATGGGGTTTTAAAGATCAAGAAGATGTTGCTTATTCACCTAGTCGTCTAGCTTGGTCTGCTGATTTCAATTGCAGTTGTTTCTACCGCAGTAATAATAGCACAGAACTTTTACATTTTGTTGCAAAGGTAATATATTTTTTTTTAAATAAATTTAATAAAAATTATTGCAAAATTGTTGTCATTACAGCATGGTTTATTTATCAACGTACATTTGGTTACGGGGAAATCATCTCCAATAGTTGCTGCAGGATTAGTAAATACCGTGGATTCAATAAATAATCCCATGGTTAAGTTTAATTTGATCGTACCAATAATGGGACAAAATATCGACGCAAAATTAAAGTGCTCAATTCAACTTATTTGCGATTTTCACGAGATACAAATGTATTTAAAAATGGTGAGACTAATTAGTTACTATACCTATGTACCTACTACATGTCTATGTATGTATTGACTTATAATATTTATATAATATTATAGTATAGGTAAGACGTGTATCTAATTTTGAATTTTTCAAGTATTTTTTATTTATTATTGTAGTCATTACTTATACCATACGTAACATTTTAAGGTAATTCTAAAAAATAACATGTTTAAATATTTTATATTTGATTTTGTTCACAGGTTGATGATGAGTATAGTAATATTGAAGCTTCTATAAACAAGACATTATCGATACCATCCACACCAAATAATACTTATTAAATAAAATTTTATAAGAATTAAATAATTTTTTTATAGATTTAATATACATTAATTGTGATATTAGTCTTAGTTTATATTTACAGGGTGTTTCATGATGTTATATAATGGCATACTCACCAGTGAGTTAGGTTGGCAACATATAGTTTCTAAATAAATACCCTTTTTAAATAAATCTTTACCTGCATTCATTTGAAGTTTGAAATCAAAACATTTGAAGATTTAAACGAAAGGAATGTATTGGTTTTGTTATTGTGCATCCATATAAGACTACAAAAGAAATCTTGACGAACATCATGTCTATCATGGGACATCTGCAATAGCAATATCATTATTATAAAATATAATTAATATTCCAGCTAGTTTAAATATACTTATTAAATTAATATGTATCGCTTTTTGCGTCCATTTAATAGTCTTCTGAGTTTGTTGACTAGTCTGAGATAAAAGCAACAAGTGGACAAAGAAATATAAAATATTTTAACTTTTAATTTTTTTCTCTAAATTCTGTGATATAAGTTTATGAATGTAATTGTTGATTAAAATTATTTTATTTACAGGTACAGATATTTCCAATATTTATTTATTTTTTTTTTTTTGTTTAATATATGTTATTTTTATTACGAGAAGTAATAACTAATAAATAATAACTGTGTAATATGTGTACCTACTTACTAAATAAAGTAAATATAATATAGATAAATAATATGTTATTTGACAATTGTGAAATATTCATGGTTAAATTATTATATTTTCCTAAATTTATTGGTGCATCCTTTTTCAAAGATCAAAATACGTTTAACTACAGAAATGAAAATATTATTTGTTTAAAATACATTAATTATTAATGTTTCTATAGATTTTATATTTTTACAATCGATGTTATTATTTTTTTGGAATTTTTCATTTAGACCTATAAATATCATACAACATGGCATTAAGAAAATTGAAGATGAGCTGTATTTTAAATAAGATAATTTGTGTGCGGGTATAGCTAGTTTTGTATTTAATCACGTATAAAACACTGTTGCAATAAATTGCTCTTATATAATGGAATATAATTGAGACAACCGTTAATTTATAGTATTTTCATACCTGTAATTACTCAAATAACTAAATAATACCCGTAATAATTTGAGAAACGTTATGATATTATCATATTATTATAAAGTGAAGTATAAAACTGTTTTGCTTTTGCAATGAATAATACAATTTTAGTGAAGAAAGTGGAAAAAAAATAGTTACGATCTTAATTTTTTAAAGAGACCATAACTGTAAAGTATTTCTGAAAAAAGAGGTATTCGCGGTCCCCATAGTTTCGTGTTTTATCTCTTAATTCAAGATAACTGTCATATTGTATCAAAAACCTCGGCAGAATATAGTAATGTACCTACCAAGCATAGTCTTAAGATACATCGCGTCATCGTATATATCAAAAATACTCAAGCTAAGAAGATGGCTGATTATTATTTTTAATTATATAGGTATAGTATGAATGAATCATTGTATTTAACGAATAATTCTAAATGGTGTTTATTTCTATTAGGTACTTTTGGTGTACCTACGTGAAATAATTATTACTCAAGTATTTCATAATTATTATGTGTAGCTGTATACTCTTAGTTACATTTTTTTTTAAATAAAATTAAACTAGTTTTAAATTCAATATATATATATATATTATATATTCAATCAAACATCACACAAAAAAATATTAGTTGATAATATTGTTAATATTATATATATAAAACCAAAACACATTACCGGAAAATCAATAGCTTCTTCGCTCCATTTAGAATTTAAAATACTTTAGACCGTAAAATAATTAATAACTTTTGTAGTCTATCTATTGATCGTTTATATGTACATATATAGTTAGTTCCGTCGTTTCAGGGCTACAATGAATACAATATGAACATTATAAACGCTCTAATAGCATAAGGTATTTTGTTTTTTCTTCATAGCTTAATATATATCTTTATTTTTTTTTTACAAAATTCTGTATAACCCAAAAAACCATGTATATATATATAAAATCTATTTGTATTAAATTTTGTATATCATTTATTTTGTTGGAAACAACAAAGAATTACGATTTTAGATTTTATATACCTAAAGAGTTTTTATTCCTATTTCTTTGAGTTTAATTTTTTTAGTTACATCATTAACATTTAAACCTTTTTGAAAAGTTCAAGGGAATTTAATAATCTGTTATTTTATAAATAATTATGGTTTGTAGTTAACATTTTATCACGTGTATAAAATATTTACAATTGTTTATTGTACATTTGTTCCTGTAATTATTTCTAACTAATATAGTTGCAGATGATTTAATACTTAAATATTTATATTTACATAATATAAATAAAATGATAAAAAAAATACATTATTAGGTACTTTCTATAACATTATAATTTAAAATTTAATCATTTATAAGTGTGTGCTATCGTATATTAAATTATATGGCTATTGAAATAAAATCATTATCTATATACCATAATTGTAATCAAATGAAGAAATAATATTTTGATTATATATTCATAAAAACGTATAAGGAACATAAATATCAAACTTCAAAGTATTCACTAAAGAAGTGAAATTTAATTTAAATTATAGCATATAATCGTTTCGTTAAATATATAGGATGTTATTATCAAGTTTTTTTCAGTAGGCATTGGTTAGTCCTCATTGTTTTATATTCGATGGTCAATAATTAAAATAAACGATGTCCTCTAATCGAAGGTTATATGGTGGCTTAAAGTATTTTACAAAGAAGTACGTAAATTACAAACAAAACATATCAATGATAAAATTTAAATTAAATAATTTATATAGGCCAATTTTCAAATGATTTTTGTCGTTGTCGTTGTCATACATATAAAACCACAACATAACCTTACAAATCAGTGATCGATGATCATATATCTAGACTAATCTAATACTACATCACGTTTTGTCACAGGTAAATGATCACGATAATAGATGTTTTATTTTATATTATATATAGAGGAGGTATACAATATAATGATGAGCATTCATAAAGTTTTATTCAAAGAATTATCTCGCTTTAAGAAAAATTATGATGAGCTCACCACCAATGTTTCATATGGTAAAAAGTTTAAGTGTAAAATTAGATTTATATATTATTTTTTATTGTTCACTGACAACTCGTATTAAACCAATATGATATTGATAAATGCTGTTAATAATGATGTTTTAGTTTGTTATAACTTCAATGATCATGACTGCGATGGTTCTAACTACTAATGGACAAATAAACCGTTACATTAATCCTACGTGGCTGGAAATGGATGCTAACAGTGAATACTACCCAGGTGGTGAAGTAATAAGCCAAATTCTTCAAGCTTATGGTTTAAGTGATAGTTATGGACCTACACGACTTGGATCATCTATTCTTGATCGAAATGGTTACAGGAGATCTTATCCAAGAAACCGAATTGTAAATAATTTGAACAATGCATATGACTCAGATCCTTTATTAACTCAGGAATACGTTGATCGTAATTATGATTATGTTGACAACACAATCAGGTAACTTATTTTACTTTTATCTCGTATTTGATTTATGACAATATATAAGTTGTCAATTTTTAACGGAGCATTAAGTGTGTGTAGGTTATGTTTATAGTCTTTATTATTATTACATATCTACCTGCAGAGACTTAAATACGAATATTGCTCAAATATTTCTTATAAAAACTATTAAAAATATATAAAAATATCTTTTAGTATAAACTACCTTTTACTTTTAAAACGATTTTATACAGCGCTAAGTATTTAAAATTGTTGGAATAATCCTTTAGTTTAAAACCCTGTTTTTATAAAAAATTAAAAAAATATATTAAAATAAAAATATAATGTTAAAATCATTATTATTTTTATTATTTTATTTTTTATTAGAACTTAAATTCTTAAGTAATTTGCAAAAATCAGAATTAAAAATAAAGTATTGGAAAAAATTAAATAGTATGTTTTTTTCCGTAATTATTAGCTTTTTCATTAATATGAATTGTATAAATGTACTGTAAATTGAACTAAAAAAATTAATCACAAAATTAACTGTATATGAAAATGTTATAGTTTTATAAATGTAGGTATATGAATTTTACCTAACATTTTCAAAATAAAATTATACGTATATTTTAAAATATATTATTTTTATAATAAGTATTTTAAACGGGGTTTTATCAATTCCGCCTGATATTTGTATATATTGATTCCGCCGATTATCGACTCCGCTGAACTTTTTTACATATTGATTCCATCGACTATCGACTCCACCGAACTTTTTTACATTTATTATCGTCAACATCGAAAAAATATAATACAAATATCTATACAATATACATACATATATATAAATATCGATAAGCCTTGTACTTACTCTTATTACTAATAATACCAATGTTCCTACAGGTAATATTATATATGACTCTTTTCGATAAAATTGTTATAGATTATATATTGATTAAGATTTATGAAAACCAACGCGATAATATAAGATAGCTACGTATATCACATAGTATGCTAGGTAAAGTTGGACAATTCAAAGTTAATGTAATGTTCTACATACTAACATACTTCAGTATTATAGTTTTATTACAATTGAATTGAAAATTACTTGTATTTCTTATAGTATCAATGTACCTATAAATTACAATATACATGTAATAAAATATTAAAATAAATGTAAATGTAAGTATTTTAAATTTACAAATTTAGAAATATTCAGCTGATTGGTAGCCGATAGTCAGCGGAATCGATGTAAAAAAGTTCGGCGGAGTCGTAGTCGGCGGAATCAATATGTAAAAAAGTTCGGCAGAATCGATAGATTTCTTACAGGTAAAAAGGTCGTTTCGGCGCAATCGATATACGCCCTTTTAAACAATAAATGTTAACTGACTTTTTAATGATAACTAAGTAATAATTTTTTCGTTTTATATCATTATCGAAAAGGTATATAAATTTGTAAATATAACCTATTGTGTATTTGTGTCCACTTTCCAATTGATAAAGAGATATAATTTTGCAAATAATTGTGTTACTATTGAAAAAAATTTAAATAATAAAAAAAATACATCATTAAAAAATCAGTCGTAATAGTTTCAAAGGAGAGAGGTAAAAAAATAAATCTTTTCATTTCAGTGCATTATTTTAACATGATTTCTACGTAGTTTGTCAATACTATGTTGTATAGTATAGAAATTCATTTTCATATTGAACTACATACTCTTTCCCACATTTAAGGTTTTAAATTATACACAACTAAAATAAAATAATGTTATTACTCGTAAATGAACTGAACAGTTATACATATATGTGGTTATATTAATAAATAGTGAAATTAATAATTTATATGTACCTATTTAATTATATATGTATTTTTTTTAGTTCGTATTTAAAAAAATTCAATGAAAATGTTGCATGTATTAAACGTATTATAACATTCTAATCATGACAATTTTTAGGGGTTCTAACAATAGGTACAGGAGTAGTTTGAACGATACTCCTCGGAGAATAAGGATTAATATGG